ACACCCCTGGCCCCTGGCCTCAGTTTCCCTGGGAGGTGCCTTCGCATCCTCGCCCGCCCTTTCCCCCGCCATCGCGGTACCAGGCCCCCCGGACTCAGTCTGCGCCTCCCTTCCAGGCAGCGTTATTCCCTCCAACCACAGCCTGTGGCAGCCGCGACACCATGATCTCGACCAAGGAGAAGAATAAAAACCCGAAGGACAGCATGACGCTTCTGCCCTGCTTCTACTTCGTGGAGGTAAGGGGGCAGGGGGTCGCGCCGGCGGGGGCAGGGCAGAGGCCTCAGTCCCACCGGGACCCCCATGCTGAGGTCCAGGGGCGGCCCAGCTCGGGTCACCCTCGAGTTGGGGCGCAGCTAGAGTGCCTGGGGGGTGGGGCTGTGCCTGGGGGTGAGGATCAGAGGAGTTGGGCTCTGTAGGATGAGTAGAAGTTCGAGGGGCAAAAAGCTGTTCTGTGCTTCCCAAACAGTGGGCAAATGCTGGGGAAAAGGGGAGGTGGGACCTTCAGTCGGGGGTTCAGGCCAGTAGCTCACCTGGAGGGGCTGGAACAAGGTGTTGGGAGTCATAGGATGGTGAGGTGATGAGGGTGCAGTGATTTCCTCCAGTACTTGAGCTCTGAAGCCTGAGGATCTGAGCTCAAATCCCTCTTGTGCTGATGGTGGGGGCTGGTACACTTCCCCCAACCTCTGATAGAACAGTCCAGGCACATAATGAAGGCTTAATGAGTGTTTAAAAAGTAAAAGATAGTAAGAGCAGCCATTTGGCATATGCTGATGATGGCACAGGGTGACCTTTGTCCATCCTTTGAGGTTCAGTACTGACTTTAGTCTCCCTGTAGCCGAAACCTCCCCCTCTTGACATGCCAACAGGCACTCAATAAATGCTCCTGCGGGGGAGACCTCCTACAAATCCAACTTGGGCATTTTCCCTCTGAGAGCCCCTACCCTGATCCCAGCCCTGACCATGGGCCTGGGGTTGTCTGTTCTGCCCGGTACCTTCTCCAGGGCTAGAGGGATGGTTGAGGCCCCTCTTAAGGCGTCATCCAAAGCAGGAGTTAAGATGGGAGCCCCTCGTGGGTGTATCTGTGCCTCAGTTTCCACGTCTGTAAAATAGAGGGGGGTTTCCTGAGGCAGCCAGGCCCCCTTAGACTTTTTCATACTCTCTGGCCCCCACAGTACCACTCCTCTCTGTCCCCTGTGGGTGTTTGAGTTTGAGACCCTTGGACCAGGATGAGAGGCATAGAACACTATGAGGGTTTGCTTCCTCAAAAAGGTTCTGCCTGCCCAGCCGGCATGGCTGAGTGGTTGAGTGTCCACCTATGAACTAGGGCAGTGATGGCGAACCTTTTGAGCTCGGCGTGTCAGCATTTTGAAAACCCTAACTTAACTCTGGTGCCGTGTCACATATAGAAATTTTTTGATATTTACAACCATAATAAAACAAAGATTTATATTTTTGATATGTATTTTATATATTTAAATGCCATTTAACAAAGAAAAATCAACCAAAAAAATGAGTTCGCGTGTCACCTCTGACACGCGTGTCATAGGTTCGCCATCACTGAACTAGGAGGTCATGGTTTGATTCTTGGTCAGGGCATATTGCCTGGGTTGCAGGCTCAATCCCCATTGTGAGGCACGCAGGAGGGAGCCAATCAATGATCTCTCTTGTCATTGATGTTGCTCTCTCTCCCTCTCCCTTCCTGTCTGAAATCAATAAAAATATATATTTTTTAAAAAGATTCTGGCCCTGACCGGTTTGGCTCAGTGGATGGAGCGTCGGCCTGTGGACTGAAGGGTCCCGGGTTCGATTCCGGTCAAGGGCATGTACCTTGG